TGTTTACATATCTGTAGCTCTGCCCTACTAACCCTCAAGTTGTTCCAAACCTGTATAAATGTCTTTTTTTCTGCTGAACGCAAAGATATATTCTCTATATATTGATATTAAATTATTTTCTATATTTTTTAAATAATTTTTAGGAGACTGTGCATTTTCCAAGACATTGTTTTTCCCAGCAGGTTTTCCACCTTGTATTGTTAATGCCATCCTTTCTACCTCATATCTTTTACAATCGAATAAAATGTGTTTTATTGTCTCTTGTGTGTTACAGTGGGTGCAAAGTCCACTGTGGTGTTTTCCTTTTCTGTGTGATGTGAAGTCGAGTAATTATCTTTTCTTCTTTTGGATTTCCGGCCCGCCTAAAGCTTACGTCTACTTGTTTTTGTACATTATATAAATGTCGTCCAGTTTCAGCTATATCCTAGTATTCTTGCCATATTTTGTTTGTATTTCCCTTTATAATGGTTTTCATTTCTGCTCTACATAACGGTACTTGTTTATCAACTTTTTTCCTGTTTTATCAACCCGATCTCACGACCAATTCGTACGAATTCGACGAATGATTAAAAAGTGGCTAATTCGTAACAATTCATACGAATTAATACAATTTTGCTAAATCGTACATATTTTACGAATTGGCCAATTCGTATGAATTCGTACGAATGACCTACCCCTTACCCCGCCCCTAAACCTAACCATCACGTGGGTTTAGACAAATCGTACGAATTAGTACGAGTGAGGTCGTACGAATTAGACACTTTTTAATCATGCGTCGAATTCGTACGAATTGGTCGTGAGATAGTGTTGGTTTTATTGATCCTTTAGCCAAAACATCTACAATCTCATTTCATCATTTTATTTTTTCCCGCATTAATTTCCCACATGTCTAGTACAATTATGTGGTTTTGTTTTATTAATACTATGTATACTTTTTTCTTGATTTACCCTGAAAGAATGGAAGTGAAATGTGACAACATGCCCCATAGGTGCCTCACATTGTAACATCACCATATAACAGTTTAAAATGCTATCTCATCTAATCCAAAAAAATATACAAGTCAAACCAAAATATTTTCTTAATAAAATACAATTATTAACTTTTTCACATAAAGTAAATGGCATTTTTTTAATAATTAAAAATAAATAATTTTTGAATATGACAACAAACACACCATAAAACACAGCTATACAGCATAGTTCAAAGCAAAATAATAATGAATCATTTCTGTACATTGACTCTCAGTCTTTGTTGGTCATGTTTTCTCAATAGAATTCATCAAAGTATAGAATATAAAAGCATATTTCTAATAGGGGCACATTGTAACGCAGTGTGACAACATGCCCCGACTGCACAACTGGGTTTAAACCCTGCTAGTGTCTTCTGCTAGTTAGCGAAGCATTAAAGAACAAGAATAAAATAATTTCAGATTTGTCTAAACTTAAGTAAGAATTAAATGTTCAGTGATATCTTACAAAGATTTCAGATTTCATTTGGTGTTGAGCAGATAAGGAACTCCCGCACACTATCATTACTTGCACTTTTCAATCAAGTTTATTCACACACAACGTTTCGGTCACACGACCTTCGAAGGCTTGAATGCTTGAATGACTAGCTGGTCTTATTATCCGACGCACCTATCACCTGCAGGTGTGCGATGGAGTTTGGTCACTAATTGTCTCTATATAGTGTTGAAATGGCAACTAGTAAATACACCAAGTTTCATCATGTCAGCATGTGTGGTGGAAGTATTTAAAACAAGCGTGTTACAACTAGCCCCGCGTTACTTTGTGCCTCGTGCTGCCCTACCTCTTTCTAGCTCAAATAGAGTAAATGCCAAGTGCAGATCTCTTAGATCTTTCTACTATTACTGGATTTTGAGCAAATGTCTGGTCTCTACACTGTAAAAAAAAGTAAAATAAAAAAAGTTTTCCTGTTAAAAATACAGTAGCAACATTTTAGGGTTTACAGACTTTTAATCATACATAATTTTACAGCAATAAACCGTCTTTTTTATCTGATATAATGTTAATTTACTGACCTTTTGAAGTAATATCTGTTTTGCTCCATTGTAATACACTTACAGCCAATAATCTACTCAAGAGTCAAGTCACATGACCAATCAAAGCTCATCATAAGCAGCTCTTCCACAAGAAAATCAACACTATTGAAATTTTAAAAATGCAATAAGCATTAATTTAACAACATTAAAGCTAACATAAAACCGTAATGTACATAACTGATTAGAAAAAAACTAAGAAAATTATGAAGAAAGAGTTATTTAAAAAAAAACATTGTGAAGTGTCTCACAGGGAAGAATGTCAATTTACATTTTTTCACTGTAAATTTTACAATGACTTATTCTTTTTCACTTCCAAAAACTTTATTTTTTCAGTAAAATTACATTAAATGTACCATTTTTATATATATATATATATATATATATATATATGTATATATCACAGCTAGCATTTTTCTTTTTTGTATTTACCATTAAAATCACAATTTTTTACAGTGTGCACAGCTGTTATGGATAGATTTTCAGAGCTGTGAATCTTCAAAAAAGATCAGCTTTTTCAACATTATTTATTGCATTTTTATCATTACTACATTACACATGGTATTTCCACATTGTTTCTTATTCCACTCATTTTCCTTATTGTTCTCCATGTCTGATAACTGAGTTTCTCTTCTAATTGGAATATAGAATAGTCTCCATTATTCTGATTGGCTGTCCGAATAATTGTTTTCCTAACTTGTGTACACTCTAAAAAATGCTGGGTTGTTTTAACCCAACTTTGGGTCAAATATGGACTAACCCAGCCGTTGGGTTAAACTTTTACATTACATTTTTAACCCAACATTTCGGGTTTGTCCATATTTGACCCAAAGTTGGGTTAAAACAACCCAGCATTTTTTAGAGTGTAGTTAAGTATTCTCACTTCACTATCATGATGTTTCTCCTCTCCAACCCTGGTTACTATTGCATAGCCTACTTTGGTTATTATTACTTCTGTCGACTGGTTTAAAACTTCCCAAATGCTGATTCCTGCAATAACAGTTCACATTATTTCTCGTCAGAGAATATGAGACTAATATAAAACCACTTGCATAAAAAAGGCTTTTATGTTTTTGTGACTGAGTTTTATGGTCCATGTCTTGCATTTGGTGAAACAGACTGCATCCCTGCGCATGGCTCATGGGAAAAGGAAGACAAATAGACGTAATTATAAGGGCCATGAAAGCCAAAATATCCAAAATATATCCAAATAAGATGACAAAAAAAACAAACAAACAAAACAAACACTAGAAACAAGCTTGAAATCACAACAGAAGTGTGGTGACACATTACAAGGACTCCATAACAACACTAAAACAGACAGGGTACACACAGGCGATGTCGAACACACCTATTGTGTGACACAATAGGTGTGTTCGGCTGCGACTGGATGCAACCGATCGGCGAGAATAGCCGCGTGCATGCAGGCGGGGAGGAGCTGCAAACGGAGACATTTCTGGTTCCCGTACCGACGGCTCACGTGGTGTTTGCATGCTTTACCACAGCTTAAGTGAAATAAATGCAACATTTGCCAAATAAACAGATATTTCAGACACATTTTCGTTCAACACTTTACTGCTTCAGTTCATACAGCATCTGTTTGAACTGTAATAAAGTTCAAAATAAGCCTATAATCAATGACGTGGAGTCAACGTTTTTTAATCAGTTTTATTTTGATAAACATGGCATAATATAACATCGCGACTACATGAAAAGACTGTTTACTGTTATAGAAAACTGATTTGTGAGCTTTAGTGGAACTAAATGTGCGAGAATAAACACGAAACGCACGTGATCGTTGTCATGCGTTGAATCCGGCGAATCGTGGAACAGCTGTGACATCATCAGAGCTCGTGCAGCCGCTCTTGAGAAGCTGCGCTGGCTGAGTCCTCCGGCTAGTGGGAGAGCTGGATTTGGGGTGTATGTGGAACAGTTAGGGTTGGAAATTAGTCGGCGTATTTCTAATGGAAGTTCTGTTCTCACTGCTGAATTAATGGCAATTCTATGGGCTCTATGGTGGATTGAGGAAGTCAAACCTAGAGAAGTTATTATCTGCTCTGATTCTGTAGGTGCTCTAGATAATTTAAAAGTAGGAAAATCTAAATCTCGTCCTGACATTGTCAATGACATCCTGAATGTGGTTTTTAGTACTAGGTTTATTTGCAACATCAGTTTTTGCTGGGTCCCCGGGCATGCTGGGGTGAGTGGGAATGAACGAGTGGATAATATTGCAAAGGAGAGCTAGGAAGAGAAGTAGATGTTCATTTATTATTAGGAAGAGTGGAATTAAGAGAAAAAATTAAAGAGAGTTTAATAAAAGAATGGCAGAGAGGGTGGGAAAAGGAAATTAGGGGTAGACATTACTTTTCTATACAACCTGAAGTTAGGAAAAGATGCTCATGTAACTTTTTGTCCCGCAGGGACTCAGTTAAAATGTGCAGATTGAGATTGGGGCACTGTGGGTTGAATTATTCTTTGCACATTGTAGGGAAGCATGTTTCTGGCTTGTGTGAATGTGGGAGTCTTGAGACTGTAGGGCATGTTTTCCTGGAATGCAGAAAGTATAGGGTTGAAAGAAATGTTCTCTTTAGTAAACTGTCAGGACATGGAGTTAAGGCTTTTTCTGTTTTATCTTTGTTTGGATACAGTGATGAGCATTAACTGATCTCCAAAGCAGTTCTTCAATTCCTGCATGACACAGGATTGTATGTAAGAATTTAGTACAAACTTTGACCCGTGGAGGGCAGTAATACGCTCAGCAGCGTCTACACTGCCGGAATCATATAAGAAGAAGAAGAAGAAGAGTCCTCCGGCTACTCTTGTATCGCTCTCGCGGTACTTTGATGGCATACATCACAGTCACGTGGAGTCAGCGCTGCATCAAGTCGGACAAAATTTCTAACCGGCATGCACTGTTTCAAGTCAGCCGCCGATCGGTCTGCGCAGAGCTGCATGAAGTCGAACAAGCCTGTTCTAACAAGGTGATAGGAAACAGCTGAGTGCAATCAATGAATGAACTGATGAGTGACAGACAGAATGCTGGGAAATGAAGTCAAATGTGAAAGACACTGTGAGAGCCATAGAGCCTAATGGAAAGCAAGGGAACACAACCAGACACTGTGACAGGTAAAAAACAAAAAACAAAAAAACAGTTGACATTAGGCTTGTTCGACTTCATGCAGCTCTGCGCAGACCGATCGGCGGCTGACTTGAAACAGTGCATGCCGGTTAGAAATTTTGTCCGACTTGATGCAGCGCTGACTCCACGTGACTGTGATGTATGCCATCAAAGTACCGCGAGAGCGATACGAGAGTAGCCGGAGGACTCAGCCAGCGCAGCTTCTCAAGAGCGGCTGCACGAGCTCTGATGATGTCACAGCTGTTCCACGATTCGCCGGATTCACCGCATGACAACGATCACGTGCGTTTCGTGTTTATTCTCACACCTTTAGTTCCACTAAAGCTCACAAATCAGTATTTTATAACAGTAAACACTCTTTTCATGTAGTCGCAATGTTATATTGTGTCATGTTTATCATGTTTATCAAAATAAAACTGATTAAAAAACGTTGACTCTACTTCATTGATTAGGCTTATTTTGAACTTTATTCTAGTTCAAACAGATGCTGTAAAGTATGAATGAAAATGAGTCTGAAATATCTGTTTATTTGGCAAATGTTGCATTTATTTTACTTCAGCTGTGGTATAACCATGCAAACACCACGTGAGCCGTCACTACGGGAACCAGAAATTGTCCGACTTCACGTCTCCGTTTGCAGCTCCTCCCCGCCTGCACGCGGCTGTTCTCGCCGATCGGTTGCATCCAGCCGCAGGCGATGTCGAACACACCTATTATTGTCAGATCAATAACACTTTTTGTATTATGTGAGCTACTATTCCTTGTACCATTAATACATACCAAATTTTACCTTCTCAACACTTCCCGTATATGTTCGCCTGCACATCTATACCACTTCTCTGTTATGTGGTAGATGTGCATATTGCCATAGACACATGACCATATTTTTACCACTCATAGCACCACAGTGGTCAGGTGGAGGAATATATGCCTATTAATAGCTCATGTATCTTATCTACACCAGGAAGACTCGCTTCATCAAACTTAATCAAAACAGAGAAGCTAATTGCATTTCTCCCCACTTGTTTACTTCCAGTAGCCCACTGTTGCCCCTGTCATATTACTAGCCTATCTTTCATTTGTTCTTCTGAAACATCTGTTGGTATTCAGTGGTGGAATGTAACGAAGTACAAATACTTTGTTACTTTACTTAAGTACATTTTTCACGTATCTTTACTTAAGTAGAATAAATAGTGCATACTTTTT